CTTGACTTGATTTATGACTGTCTTTGTTCTTTACTGTCATGAAACTGCTTACCCTGGGCCATGATCATTCAAATATGGCTCCACAATAAGCCCTCTCTTATTCGCTTTAAGATGAGAGCTGTATTTTTTGCATACACGGACTACACTAAGCATCTAAGTATGTGAGTTGGGAATTGTGCACAACATCAAATGACTGTAGAAAACAAGACTGCAATTGGCTGGATACAGAAAAAAAAAAGGTAGATGTGAGAATAGGGATGGCCTTTACAAGATATTCTGTCATTCTTAAGCATTTGAAACTCAAGTAACCTGTATTACTAGAATAAAGTCCTCCTAGATAAACACCTGCTGGCCTCAAATTTAGCCTTCAATATGTAATGTCGGGGGAGCATAGTGAAGAAAACTGCCAACTATCTGACAATACTGTGATGTGAGTTGACAATGTTAGTACTAGATTCAAAAGGAAAGCTGTGCATTTTCACTTAACATAACTAAGACTCCACAGTCATCCTTTTTTTTTTTTTTTTCCAGACAGGGTTTCTCTGTGTAGCCCTAGATACCTAGATATCCTGGAACTTGCTCTGTAGACAAAGCTGGCATCGAACTCGGAGATCTGCTTGCCTTTGCCTCTGTATCTCAAGTATTGGGATTAAAAGCATGTGACACCACCTCCCATTTAATCCAATTTTTTAAAAATTCACTTTATGGAACAAAATTAAGACATACATACAACATACCAAAAGTTACCTCTGAGTTAGCTATGTGATATTCTGTATTTTTCCAGGTTTGTTTACCAAGAAACATTCTATTTACTTATCTATGTATTTTGGTTTGGTTTTTGGAGACAGGGGCCTCTGTATGTAACCCTGGCTGTCCTGGAACTGACTATGTAGACCAGGATGGCCCACCCAAGTGAAAGACTTCCTCCAACAAGGCCACATCTCCCAATCCTTTTAATCCTTTCAAATAGTGCCACCCCTTGGTGACTAACCATTAAAATATATGAGCCTGGTGGGGCTATTCTTACTCAAACCACAACATGCCTGTAGTCTGACTTGCTCTGGCGTCTGAGGGCCAAAAATCACTTGAGCCTGGGAGTTAAAGAGCAGACTGGGCCGCACAGTAAAACCATGTATGAGTCTGGGCAGTGGGAGGTGAGTGTTGAAATCAGAAAAGATGGTTTGTGAAAATCAAAACAGAAGAGAACAGAAGCAACCAAGCAACCAGTTTGGTTTGGGTTTTTTTGATCTTCTGATCTTTGTTTGTTTGTTTGTTTTTGAGACAGGGTTTCTCTGTGTAGCCCTGTTTGTTCTGGAACTTGCTATGTAGACCAGGCTGGCCTCTGACTCACAGAGATCCAACTAACTGCCTCTTCTTCCTGAGTGAGCTCTGGGACTGAAGGCATTCACCATCATACCTAGCTAAGGTTGGATTTTTTTTTTTTTTGGCAAGAAACAAGCCAAGCCAATATTGGACATTTATAAGTAAAAATAAGCCTCCATCCATGTGTGATTTATTTGGCAGCTGGGTGGCATGCCCCCAAAGAGCCAAAAGAGAAAAAAACAACTGAAAAGTACAGGATTAAGCCAGGCAGTGGTGGTGCACAGTAGCTTGGTCTACAGAATTAGTCCCTGGATACCCAGGGCTCTCTTGAAAAGCCAAGGGAGAGAGAGAGGGAGGGAGGGAGAGGGAGATGGAGGAGAGACAGAGACAGAGACAGACAGACAGACACACATACACACACACACACAGAGAGAGAGAGAGAGAGAGAGAGAGAGAGAGAGAGAGAGAGAGAGAGAGAGAGAGAGAGAGAGAGAGAGACGGGCAGTGGTACACGCTTTTAATCCCAGCAGAGGCAGAGGCAGGCAGATCTCTGAGTTCAAGACTAGCCTGGTCTACAAGAACTAGTAGGATGGCCTCCAAACCCACAGAGAAACCCCTGTCTCAACCCCTCCCCCCAAAAAAGTAAAGAGCTAGTAGGAGGGAGAAACAGAGAGAGAGAAGATTATTGGGGCTGGAGAAATTGTTCTCTGTTGTGGAGTATTTATCCAGACATGGGTTTAAGCCAATAGAAAGTCTTTATTAGCTGGCTGCTTACTGCACTGAGTATTTGGGATCCCTCCCAGAGTAGCCTGGAGCCTTTCTTGGGGTGTTTTTAAGCACAAAAACCATGTCCTAATTTGACATACTTCAATTAACAGGTAGTCAGATGCAGAACTACAGAAGCCAAAAAAAGCAAGGTTAGTACATTTAGAGACTCCCCCAGAACTCTTTGATGGATTATGCCTTTGTTTTATTTTGGCAGGTGGTGCTGTCTATATGCTGAATTTTACAGCCTGAATGGTACTTACACTATGGAGTCAGTTGTGCTAAGGTCTCATGGCCAAAGGTCTGGGGCCCTCTTACAGCTCAGCAGTTAAGGGCACTGGCTGGTCCTCCAGAGAACCCTGATTCAATTCCCAGTACCCACATGGCAGCTCACAATTGTCTAACTCCAGTTCCAGGGGATCCAATACTCTCACACAGACATACATGCAGGCATAATACCAATGCACACAAAATAAAAATAAATCATTAAAAAAAAAAGAAATACAGGATTACTTGCAAACATTTTGGGTATTTCTACTTGGAAATAATCCTTGGAATGTATGAAAATGCTTCCAGGAAACCCACAAACTTCTAAAACTGCAAATATTTGGCAAATATTGTTTTTCTGGGGACAGACAAATATCAAGATTTCTTTCCTCAGCTTCTGTTACAAGAGGGGACCCTAAAATTAAGTCTCACTCTTTTCCCTTTAGCTTACTCTTTAGTACTACCAGAGCCGTTATCATTGTGACATCCTTCTCTGCTAGCTGTTACTCTGGACAATTTGTCAATAACCTACTTTTATTTTGTGTGCATTGGTATTTTCCCTGTATGTCTGTGTGAGGGTGTTGGGTTTTGAAGTTGCAGACAGTTCTAAGCTGTCAAGTAGATGCTGAGATTTGAATCCAGGTCCTCTGGTAGAGCAGTCAGCGCTCTTAACTGCTGAGCCATCTCTCCAGTTTGTAAGTGTTTGAGGTTTTTTTTTTTTCCTTATGTTAGTTTTATGTTAACACAAGGTAGAGTCAGAGGAGAAGGAACCTGAAGTGAGAAAATACCTCCCTAAGATAGGGCTGTTAGGCAAGCCTATTGGGCATTTTCAAATTAGTGATTGATGTGGGAGGGCCCAGTCCATTGTGAGTGATGCCACCTGTGGGCTGGTCTTCGGTGCTATAAGAAATCCAGTGGGGCTGGAGAGATGGCTCAGAGGTTAAAAGTAATGACTGCTCTTCCAGAGGTCTTGAGTTCAATTTCCAGCAACCACATGGTGGCTCACAACCATCTACAATTCAGTCTGGTGCCCTCTTCTGATATGTAGGCAGAACACTGTATATTCAACAAATAAAATAAATCTTAAAAGAAAAAAAAATAAATCCAACTGACCCTCTGAATGTGGGTGACAGTTATGTGGCTGGATCTATTGCGGGGAGGGATGGCAGGGGCACCAGGACCTATCCCAGGTGCATGAACTGGTTTTTTGGAGGCCATTCCCTGTAGGGAGGGCATGGCTACAGGTGCATACTGGTATGTGGAATAAGGGGCACTCGCCCTCTCTTGGGGTTCCAGTTAGGTCTCAGAGAGCAGTGGAGCACTGACCTTTGGTTCTCAGTTTCTCACATAAGTGATTTCTCCCTAATAAAATAACATACAACATCTCTGTCCTGTGTATGGTAATCTTCCTCTTATAATTCCCTATGATGGGAGACCTTACTCAGCCTGGATATAGGGGGGAGGGGCCTGGTCCTGTCTCAACTTGGTACACCAGACTTTGTTGACTCCCCAAGGAAAACCTTACCCCCTCTCAGGAGTGCATGGGGTAGGGAGGGGGGAAGGTGAGGGGATAAGAGGAGGGGAGGGAGGGGTATGTAAAATGAAAAATAATTTTTTTAAATAAAAAAGAAAGCCAAATAAGAAAGCTGTGGAGAACAAGCCAGTAAGTGGCACCCTGATGACCTCTGTATCAGCTCCTGTCTCCAGGCCCTGCCTTGTGTCCCCTCTGTGATGTGGAAGTGCTACACAAACTCTCTCCTCCCCAAATTGCTTTTGGTCATGGTGTTCCTCACAGCAAGGGACACTGTAACTAAGACTCGGCCACTGACTTATTTTCTCATTACTCCTCACTTGAGAGATTTTTCTAGTTCACAGCCATAACCCTAATGCCAAACAAAGAGCAGGTATAAACAAACCCTTAAGTGCCAGAATCAAAATGAAACTATGTAACTTTCACCATAAGCCTCATGACTCCAGAAAAGTTAAACATGTATACAACACATTTTCTAGTGTACAATCCTATCTAAATAAATCATTCTGCCAGGTTGAACACTCACATTGACAGATACTACAAATGGCCCAGGTAAGGGTTTTTTTTTTTTTTTTTCTGGACTGAGGATGTAACTCAGTGGGAGAATTAGTAGACACAGTCCCAGCACTAGGTTGGGCAGACTTTTTATTTTAAATAGCGCATTCCTAAAACATGCAGGCTGCTATGAACTAAATGTTAATGCTCTATTCACAAACTCCCCCATGTGAGAGTTACATGAACCAGGGCCTTTAGAAAACTGAGTAGGTTATGGGTGTGAAGCCCTCATACATATGACGAGGACCCTCCTAAGAGAGATGTCATAAGGCTCCTTTTCCTTTTAACCAAGTGAACAAACACTGAGATAGCATTAATTATCAGAAAACCTGAAGTAACCTTCCTGTACACAGTGGCTCTAAAGTAGACCTCATGTAGACAGTGGATCTGTTTGTGTTTTGATCTTGAGCTTCCTGACCTCTGGAAGTGTAGGAAATAAATTTTTGTTGTTTATAAGCTCCTCAAATCATATTTTGTTTCAGCAAGCCAAGAGGACTAAAATAGACATAAACACATGTCTATTTAACACTATCAATAACACACATTGCAAAAACTCCAGTTAACATAATTTAATATTTATTATAATGTTTATATATACAGCAATGACAAAATGATGTTCAATAAGTTACATAGATTTTTTAAATACTGTAAAAATGGATAAGAATAGGAATGATACCATGAATTTATTATTCATACTTGAAAATAGTCATCTACCTTTTAAACATATTTGAACTGATGATTTCTACATAAACAAAAATAGTTTAATACAGAAATCATTTTTCCAATAATGCAATGGATGCAACCTAATAGCTTGATTGTTATTGCACATATTTGGCTTGGGTTTATTTGATCAGAGGTCATGCAGAAAAATAAACCTTGTATATAAAGTTCATGAAAGTAGGCAGGATGTTATTTTATACTACAAAAATTCAATGTGTAGTTTCATCAGGAGATTTTATGAAATAGTTGAATAAAATTATTAATTAATCACACATGCAAGCTAAAAGTTTTTAGATACAGTAATTTGGCTCTGTTGATATATTACTCTGAGCTGATCACTTTCTTGACCACTTAAATAGGTGGTCTTCATCTAATTTTTTAAGCATTAAACAACATATCTTAAATATAGATGTATATTTATGTCATTCACATAATTGGCACATCATCCACATTTTATCATTTTAAATATGGAAAAACCAAGGAGAATTGGGGCTAAATATACCCTGTAAACCAGTTTCTAACTAAAAACTTCTCTCTTTTACCTTTCAAATTCACTGTGCCAAAACATTAAGTAGTTGTATTAACCCGTAAACATCCTTGCTTATTTGCACTGTTGCCTGAGGTAATCTGGAAACTACTGTTATTATGGTAGCCTCACAATTATAAAATTCCTGATATGTGCTTTGGAAAACTTCAAAATAAAAACAAAAATTTAAGTGTAGAATTGAGTGATCTTTCTCTATTACAAAAACTTGATAAGAAATTTCTAGATACCAAAATCAAACCATTTTCTTCCATTTTTAGATGACAAGAAAAACACTCCAACTTTAGACCATAAAAGTACACTTCAGAATCTCAATTAGCACTAGGTTATAGATAAAAGCATTTTATTTGCATGTCATTGCTAGAATAATGTGTAAAATGACACAGATTTTAGGTTTTCCCATTTTACAGGGTGATAAAATACTGCTATATGTTAGGATGAGTACCTACCTAGGCCTAGATTGTGTCTGTCTGTCCTTTCTCTCTTTCTTTCTTTCCTTTCTGTTTGTCAAGACAGGGTTTCTCTTGTCCTGGAACTTGCTTAGTAGACCAGGCTGGACTTGAACTCAGAGATCTGCCTACTTCTGCCTCTAAGTGCTGGGATTAAAGGCATGTGCCACCACCACCTGGCCATTTTTAAAAATTATTCTTTCATTTATTATATCCCCATCACAGTATATCCATCACCTCTCTGCAGTATATCTCTTAATAGTATCTTTTCTAGGAGAAAAAAAGGTAACTACTTATTTTTGTTGTGGGGGGGGATGATGGAGAGTTCTATGATCAAGATGCCAACTTGAACAAAATTTTCTAATTAATTGTTCTGGTGCTAGAATATTCTGTCACTGGATTTTAATGAAACAGAAAAGTTCTCTTTAGAAGACACGACTGGGCTCTGCAGGTCGCCATATTTAATATGCAATGGTATTTTTAAATTTCTGCATTAGACAAATCACAGTTTCACCCATCCACACAAAGAGGCCACACTGGTGACTTTATAATGTTAGACATGTCAGAAGGTTCAATACTGGTTAAAGGTTTGCATGGTTTACAGCCTCTCTCCCTGACATTTGTCCCTTGTATCACCACTGGCACAGAGAGTTAGGATACTGAATCAGCCCCTTACATTTAGATTCAATCATGTGTCAGTGAACCGACTCAGTGATTATCTAAATTTGGGGGTAGTAATATTTCTCATGTTGAGTTTCCACAGTTCATTCATGTGTTACCCCTTAATCATTTAAAGGGAACAGAAGGACAAACCCTGTGCCCCATTACAGTAAAATCCAAACCCACCCAAATTTTGTATTTGTGTGGCTGGGGATTGAAGCAGGGCCTTGCACAGGCTAGGTGAGTGGTCAGCCACAGAACTACATCCCCAACTGTCCACCTGAGCTTTTTAATGATGGCTATGAAGACACCTGTCTGATATTTACTGAAGTATAGAAGTAGAAAATGACCTAGCTGGGCATTGGTGGCACACGACTTTAATCCCAGCACTCGGGAGGCAGATTCAGGTGGATCTCTATGAGTTTGAGGCCAGCCTGGTCTACAGAGTGAGTGCCAGGACAGGCTCCAAAGCAATACAGAGAAACTTTGTCTCCAAAAACCGAAAAAAAAAAAAGTAGAAAATGTATTATATTCCCTTGTTAATGATAAGAATATGATTTGATTTTCTACCATTATAATTTGGTCATGTATAGTTCAAAGGCATCCTTAAACTTTAAAGAATCTTATGTTCCTATATGGATTATCAATTTCTATTTACCAGTTCTATGTTACAATTACCTATATTTTATTTTGGCCTTAGGCAGTCACTTACAAATTATCTTTAATAGACTATAAGTAACTATGAAATGTTTCAATATTTTCAATGAAATATTCTAAGAAATAAGAAACAATACATTGCTTGTAAACTCACACTGCCAAAATTACAGTGGCTCTGTTTTACATGACCAAATCCCATAAGCTATGAAAAAGTAATTATGTTACATTAGGCACTAGTGCAGACTGCTCTAGCGACATTTCCTGTATAGTAATTACACACCATTGCAAAGCCCTGAGATGATTTTGAGTGGAGTGGTACAAGGATGAGTGCCTTTTCTTTCATAGTTAAAACTTACTTCAACTTTTTACTAGAAAAATAACAAGCCCATAAAAATATGACATATGATTTAAAACATGGCCAAGATTTTAAGAGGCTAAAACAAAGATTAAGTAAATTGTAACAGGAGACATAGTAGATGCACTCCGGAGGGGGTATTACGTTGAGGAAGCAGTATGTGAAAGGATGATTTTCACCATCATCTCCGAATGTATGTAAGGATGGAGATACATCATAAAGGGGACTTCTCCACCACTATCAAAACCTTTTTTCTTGAGGAAGGGATCTCCAAGGACACGAAAATTAGCATTTTTTTGTTCTGGCTTTTGGGGGGGGGCATGAAACATATTTTTTACATTTAAGAATATAGATTTGAAAGCATTAGCTAATTAATTTTTTTGTTTTGTTTTTTTGAGACAGGGTTTCTCTGTGTAGCCCTGGCTATACTGGAGGTCCCTCTGTAGACCAGGCTGGCCTCGAACTCACAGAGATTCACCTGTCTCCGCCTCCCGAGTGCTGGAATTGAAGGTGTATGCCAGCACTACCTGGTGTATTAATTTTTAAAGGATTCACCACATGATGAAAAAATTAGATAACGCTGGAAGGATACACTATTTCTAAATACTACAAAGGCACATTATATGTTATGCTTACCACCGCAGCATTAGAATACAGATGAGCTAACTAACAGTTAATGGGTAATTACAAGATTCTTTCATAGAAAAGAAGATAAGCTTGTGCGCTCAGTGCTCTTGACTCTGGAACCACCTGCACGTAAGTGTCGCTGACGTGGACCCAGTGGCTTCCCAAGTCACTGTCAGGTTCTTTCAAACCTAGCACAACAAAACGGACAATTCTACAGTTAGTTTATCTACATCCTCTAAATTGTAAACTGCAACACATTCACAAGAAAATATATCTAATTCTAACACTGTATTTTATTTTTCTTAGATTAAGTATTACCTAAGATGGACTAATGCTTTCAAAGCACCAATATCACTAATCAATTATACTAATAATTACTTCCAGCTAATAAAATTTTAATTTAAATATCTCATGAAATATGAGTCCTGTAATACTTAATTGCTCAGAGAAAAGACTCACTTTCTCAGAAAGGAGGAAAGAGGGGCTTGAGAGACAGTGCAGGAAGCATAGGAACCGGCTGTACCAACCTGGCAGCTAGTTTGATCCCCAGAACTCTCACGAAGGTGTGAGAAGAAAACAGAGTATACAGAACTATTCTCTGATTACCAAACATATGCTCATGCAACACAGTAAACACACAGAAACATGAATAATGAATATATTTTGAAAACTAATAAAGGAGTTGGGCATGATAGTGCCTTTAGTCCCAACACTCAGGAAGCAGAGGCAGGCAGATCTCTATGAGTTCGAGGCCAGTCTGGCCTACAGAGCAAATTACAGGACAGCTAGGGATACACAGAAAAACCCTGTCTCAACTCCCTCCCCCCCCAAAAAAAATCACTAAAAAGATACTACTTTGTGATAATTAAGATTCTTAAATATTATCTAAGCGAATTTAAAATTAATAAAATGAATCCTTTTGGAGATCTGTAAAATAATAACTCCTTTAAAAGATAAAACTAAGGATAAATTCTTTCGAGCTTAGGATGGCTTACCTGGTACAGTTTTCCTTCCGGTAATATATTCAGACAACTTCCTGGAGGGCACTCTCACTTTCACATATGCCGTGTAATGGCCACCTCTCATTGAGCCGCTGTGCTCCACGATACCATAGAGACCGTAGAGAACTTTCTCTCCCACATTTATATTCTTTCAAACACAAAAATTGGTAAAATTCAGTGAAATGAGAATGAGAAAGTAAATGCATAGGAGAAATTGTCTTAAAACAATACTGAGATACTTTGTGCTTCTCAGCGAACAGTATTAGCAAAACAGAGGGGAGACTATCAAACCCAAATTTATCCAATCTTCTATAATTACAAATGTCTGTATGTAAAAAACAATAATTACAAGGAGATAATTGTCAAAATCGAAATTGTGGCAAAATATAAGAAAGATTCCAAAAGGAGAAGAAATTATGCATTAAAATAATATTAAAAGAGTTGAGGTCAGCTTGGTCTACATGGTAAGACCCTATCTTAAAACACACACACACACACACACACACACACACACACACACGAGAGTCTGGAAGCTGGGAGAAAGAGAGAGATTGAGTCTCTGAAGTTGTTAAATGTAAATGGACTAGACATTGTTGATGTAATTATTACCTGTATATATTATATATACTTATTGTATATAGTTTTTCTTATGTTACTTGTAGCCTTGTTATATATTGTTTATATATTAGTTATATATATATATGCTAGTTATACATTATATATTATTATGATTTATTAAAGCTTGCCTGAGGATTCAGAAAGCAAAGCCAGCCTCTAGCACCTTTAATCCCAGCAGCCAGAAGCTAGGAGGTAGTGGTACACATCTTCAATCCTAGGACTCAGGATTAAGAGTCCTACTGACTACATGAAATTGATCCAGTCCTAAAAGAAACAGCACATACGACAGGTGCTGAGATCACACGCCTCTAATCCCGTCACTAGGGAGGTGGAGACAGGAGGATATGTAGGTGGAGAAAGGAATATAAGGAGGAGGAGACAGGAATTCAGAGCTTTTTGCCTCTGAAGATTTGTGGAGACAGGATTACCACTTCACCTGGCTAGACTGGATTGCTTCTCTGATCTTTACCTTAAAGTTTGTACCCCAATATCTGTCTCTGAGGCTTTTGTTTATCTTGCTACATCATTAGGTGCTGAAAGAGCCTTGGACAAAATCCAACACCCCTTCATGATAAACTTGAAGAGAGCAGGGATACAAAGAACATACCTAAACATAATAAAGGCAATGTACAACAAGCCAACAGCCAGCATCAAATTAAATGAAAACTCAAAGCACTGAAATCAGGAACAACACAAGGTTGTTCACTCTCTCCATATCTATTCAATAGCTAGAGCAATATGACAACAAAAGGAGATCAAGGAAATACAAATTAGAAAAGAAGTCAAATTTTCAGCATTTGCTGATGATAAAACAGTATACGTAGGTGACCCCAAAAATTCTACCAGTGAACTACTACAATTGATAAACACCTTCAGCAATGTATCAGGATAGAAGATTAACTAGAAAGAAAGAAAGAAGAAATCAGTATCTCTCCTATATACAGATGATAAATGCACTGCAAAAGAAATCAGAGAAACATCACCCTTCACAATTGCCACAAACAACATAAAATACCTTGGGGTAACTCTAACTAAACAAGTGAAAGACCTGTACAACAAGAACTTTAGGTCTTTAAAGAAAGAAATTAAAGAAGAGATCAGAAAATGTAAAGATCTCCCATGCTCTTGGATAAGTAGAATTAACATAGTAAGAATTGCAACCTTGCCAAAAGCAATCTACAGATTCAATGCAATCTCTAACAAAATCCCAGCAGAATTCTTCACAAACTTCTAAATACTCAGCTTCATATGAAAAAACAAAAACAAAAACCCAGGATCACCAAAACAACCCTGTACAATAAAGGAATTTATGGTGGTGTCACCATACCTGACTTCAAAGAGCTATAGTAATGAAAATAGCTTGGTAGTGGCATAAAAACAGACAAGTGGACCAATGGAATCAAATTGAAGACCTTGCTATCAATTCACATACCTACGAACACCTCTGTCTTTTTGACAAAGAAGCTACAATTAAAAAATGGAAAAAAGAAAGAATCTTCAACAAATGGTGATGGCATAAGTGAATGCTGACATGTAAAAGATTGTAGATAGATTCATATCTATCCCCATGCACAAAACTCAAGTCCAAATGGATCAAAGACCTCAATATAAATCTGTCTACACTGAATCTCATGGACGAGAAAGTGCGAAGTTGCCTGGAACACGTTGGCACAGGAAAATATTTCCTAAATAAAACACCAGTAGCACAGATACTGAGATCAATAATGAATAAACAGGACCTCCTGAAACTGAGAAGCTTCTGTAAAGCAAAGGACACAGCCAACAAGACAAAACCACAGCCTACAGAATGGGAAAAGATCATCACCAACCCCACATCTGACAGAAGACTGATCTCCAAAATATACAAAGAACTCAAGAAACTAGCTCACTATTGGCTCACTCAGAGGAACAGGAGGACACAGAGACATTATATCAGCTGCTAATAAGAAACAGGTAGCTTTGGTGTTTGGGATCCATGCCCAACACACCTTGTTCATCTTTGTTCCAAAGAACCAAAGTCATATTTGATGCATTAATATGTCACAATTACCTCCTCAAGAAGAGAAGCATATTTAAACAAAACAAAAGCATTTTCTAATAAACAATAAGCAGTATGCATTTCACCATCTCACTTGCAAGTTAATTAAATGTTTTCATATATCATACCTTACAGGCAGCGGCACAGAATGGTGCTAAATCAAGGGTAAGCGGAAAGTCTACATGCCTGTTCACTTTACGAAGACTCAAGCCAGCCTTAAAAAGACAAAATTATTATTTTTTTTAGTAAAACAAACTTAAGTTTAAAGTACTATGTTAATTAAAACCAAAAGAATTCTAGAAAGTTACTATTCTCATAGATATAAAAAACATGATTAATAATAGTCATACTGCCAGGCAGTGGTGAAACACGTCTTTAATCTCAGCATTCAGGACACAGAGGTGCAGTGGCATTTGCCCTGCCAGTGAACTTGTGGTGGTGGTCACACGCTTTGGGCGTGGGTTCAGATTCAGAAGTGACCCTTTATAAGGTAGAGGAGGGGCTGGCTGGCTTGTGCTCTCTTTGGTGTCTTGGGCACAGACCAAATCTTCTGGAGCAGGAAGATTGAGGCAGTTATTTACTCTTATCTATGTACGTGCTTCCCTAATAAATACCTAATTATCATTTATCTTGGGTCTGGTGAATTCATTTAAACCCCACCCTCAATTGGTGCCCACGTGGGTTGATCCACACCATCAGCCCATGACCCAAAGCCAACCACACCAGCCTCCCTGTGTTCACTAAGTTAGACAAACCAGCCCCCCTCTACCTTTAAAAATGGGTCACCTGAGACCATGCCCAAAGGTGTGGCCACCACCACAAGGTCACAGGCAAGGCAAGATGCCACTACACAGAGGCAGGCAGATCTCTGTGAGTTTGAGACCAGCTTGGTCTACAATGTAAGTTCCAGGACAGTCTCCAAAGCCACACAGAAAAACGCTATATATATATATATATATATATATATATATATATATATATATATATATATATAGAGAGAGAGAGAGAGAGAGAGAGAGAGAGAGAGAGAGAGAGAAAGAAGAAAAAAGAAAAAAAGGTTATTTGTTCACATGGAATTTTTTTAAAATCATGAATAAGGTAAACAATTCCTTTGTGTTTTTACAACAATTCATACAAAATAAGTTTAATGTGCTAAAAGCGAATCCTTTGACACATATTATCATGGAAATGTAGTCAAAGAGTCAAGGATTTAAAAATGAACTTGACTGTAGGCAACCTCATCTAGGTCAAGTCAGAAAATGGGGACAAACAGATCTTACTGAGTACTCTCATTTCTAAAATTCAATGATATTCACTCACTATGAAAGAACTTGAACACTTGCTATATATCTCAATAGAAGCAGACATTACAACATTACATAAAATCAAATGAACTTTCACGATCTTCAGAAAATCCTACTGCTTCTGTTTTCACTTCCCAAAACTAACCTGGAAAAATGCATGTTCTCCATTATGTGATGGTAATGAAAACTAGTGGCGGGCCGGTGACAGGTCTCAGCAGGCGAAGGACGCTTACTGTGCACACCTAATGGCCTCAGCTTGACCCCTGGGACCCACGGTTTAAGGAGAGAACCAACTCTCTGAAGCTGTCTTCTCACTCCATAAACCCAAAGGAGGCACAGCCATCATACCACAAGAACAGTTGCTCAACCATATTCATAGCAGGATAATTTGAATAGCCAGAACCTGGAAACAACCTAGATGCCCCTCAACTGAAGAATGCACAAAGAAAATGTACATGTACACAAATGTACATGTAAAACAAAACAAAACAAAAAACAATGAAATCTTGAAATTCAAAGGCAAATGGATGGAACTAGAAGAAACCATCCTGAGTGAGGTAACCCAGTCACAGAAAGACACACATGGTAGGTATTCACTCATAAGTGGATATTAGACAGAGCAAAGGATAACCAGCCTGCAATCCACAACCCCAAAGAAGCTAGGTAAAAGGGGGGACTCTATGGGGGACACACATGGAGGACCCCAGAAAGGAAAACTATGTGTACATGTACTGGGGATACATGTGAAGACCAGAGGACAACTTCTGGTATCATTCCTGGAATGCTGGGATGTCATTTCCTCAGGTGTCACCATTTTGATTTTTTTGTTTTTGAAACAGGGTCTCCTCTCTCTCTGTCGTCTCTCTCTCTCTGTCTCTCTCTCTCTGTCTCTCTCTCTCTCTCTGTCTCTCTCTCTCTCTCTCTCTGTCTCTCTCTGTCTCTCTGTCTCTCTGTCTCTCTGTCTCTCTGTCTCTCTGTCTCTCTGTCTCTCTGTCTCTGTCTGTTTTTGGCTTTTTGAGACAGTTTCTCTGTATAGATTTGGAGCCTCTCCTGAAACATGGTCTGTATACCAGGCTGGCCCTGAATTCACAGAGATCCACCTGCTTCTGCCTCCTAAGTGCTGGGATTAAAGTGTGCACTGTAACGTGCATTCTCCCCACCAGCCTGGTCCCAGAGCCGCATCAGTCCCATATGAACACACAGGACGCTATATTAATTATGAAGCTGTTGACCATTTGCTATGGTTTCTTATCGGCTAGCTCTGACTTAACTATTAACCCGTAACTGCTAATCTGAGTATTTCCACGTGGTCTTCTCTTACTGGAGAAAGGGTCCAGACCTCTTACTTCTCTCGAGTCCTACATAGTGACTGACTGTGCCTCTGTTTCCCAGAATCCTCCTCGACTCCTAGTCCCACCTATCTTGCTTCCCTATTGGCCAACACTGCTTTATTCATCAACCAATAAGACAAACATCACAGAAGGATTTCCCCATCAGTACACCACCACAGCCCCACAAGACAGAGTTTTCTGCATAGCCCTGACTGTCCTGGAACTCACTCTGTAGACCAGACTGGCCTTGAACTCAGATCTGCCTGCAGCCTCCCAGTACTGGGACAAAAGGTGTGCACCACTGCCACCTGGCCATTACTTTGCTTTTTGAGACAGGGTCTCTTACTGGCCTAGAACTCACCAATTAGGTTACACTGGCTGACATTTCAAAAACATACCAGCATGCCAAGTTTTTTTTTTTTTTTTAACATGGATTCTAGTGACCAAATAAATGCAGGTGCTTATGCTTATGTGGTGGGCACTGTATCGACTGAGCCATTTCTACAGTCTCCAGATGATCACGATAAAAGGATTTACAGGCTAGCTAATATGAAATTATGAGATCATATCCAGGAATAATTATTCAACCTACAGTCAATCTCTTTGCCTTCTTTTTCATCAGGAGACCTCTATAAGTGTCCAGTACCAGCACTGAGGTCATTCACACTAGTGTGCTCTCCATAGCCACTCTGAGATAGCTGAGAAACTCTCCCCAGTAGAAAGGTTTCTGCAAAGGTCTTTTCTAGGGGGTGACTCTTAGAAAATGTCGAGCATTATGTATGTAGTGTCTTGCCGTTTGCTTTTAACAGAATGATTCTCCCTAGTCATTAGAATATAAATCGGATATCCCAGACACTGAGTGCTTAGCTAAATCTTCCACCTAGCTTGATCTGAATAAGGAACGGCTATGCTGGGTCTCTGTCTACTTCAGTTCAAACATCTATCTGCTTCATTTCAAACATCACCTGATAGCCATTACTGACTGACGGTCTGGGTAGTGCTCCCAGCAGACTCCACTGATGGCTCAAATGCCCATCTAGCGTTTCTTTAGCCTCAAACAATTCTGTATCATTGCTGAAGATTACAATTAAGACAGTTACAAAAAAAACTCTCATTTTTCTATTTCATCTGTTGGAAAGGATGGGCCTATTTTGTACTTTACTGGAGTTTGTATTCCCTTTTCTGGAGCTCTACCCTTATTTATTGGGGTCAACATTTTTCTTAGCAGACTTTAAGAGCTGCTTGCAAAGTTATAAAAAATCAATTATTTGATATGTCTATGACAAAGATCTCTATGAGGTCTGCTTTTAAATATAAGTGGTTCTGATACATAGCCTTAAAGTTACTAAACAAAAACAATATTTTAGAGATACTACAGAACAAAATATTAGCTATCACTTAGGAACTCATCCCTGCCATTTCCAGCCCTTGGAACGAGGCTGTAGCTTTGCTGAGGTTACATTCAGATTAAGAACAAAAAGGGACTGAAGTATTCATGAATACTTCCCTTGAAGTACACAAGTTTTTTTTTTTAATTGTTCTTAAAGAAGATGCAATTACCAAATATAACACATTCTGCATCTGGCATGCCCTTCCTCGTTCATAGTCTGTGGAGATAAACTTACACTAGGCATTAGAATGAAATGCCTGTTTCTATAACTTTGGATATGGAGAATAATGATCTCTTTTGTTTAGTTCTTTTGCTGTTGTTTGAGACAAGGTCTCTCAATGTAGCTCTGGATATCCCTGAACTGACAAAGATTCCCCCCTGTCCTAACCAAGTACTAGGATTAAAGGTGTGAGCTTTAATCACTAATAAATATCTTAACTTTTCCCTCCTTCCCCATCTTCTTTCTCCCTCTCCTTCCTTTAGTGACCACTTTACCAACCAAAAGATTTCTCCAGTCCTCAATAACTATTTTAAAATACAAAACAAACAAACAACAAAAACCCTAACTTAAAAAAGAAGTTGGTGCTGGATGATGGTGGTGCATGCCTTTGGTCCCAGCACTTGGGAGGCAGAGACAGATGGATCTCTGCGAGTTAGAGCCAGCCTGGTCTATAGAACAAATTCCAGGACAGCCAGGGCTACCCCGTTTCAAAAAATCAAAACAACAACAAAAGTAATTACAGTACTTGGTAGTCTATACTCTTCTTCCAGAGAAATTGAAAGTCATTAAAAAAAAAGTCAGGGCTGACAACACAGCCTACAATAAGCTGCTTAGGAGCCAGAGCAAGAAGACTGCGGTTTCAAGGTCTTCCCAGGCTACCCAGAAAATTCCAGACTAGCTTGAGCAACTTCTCAAGACCCTGCCTTTAATTTTAAAAATAGAAAACAGGCAAGAGATGTAGTTCAGTGCCAGAACACCTGCCTAACATAGAGAAAACCCTGGATTCAAACCAAACACCAGGAAGAAAAACAAAAGCCAGCTGAACAAGATACAAGGATAAAATAAGTAGTTTTAAAAAGCCATCTTTTCTTTAACACTAACAACATCCAGATTACCAGCACCAGCAGTCTTGTAGACCTCCCTCGAAGCCTTCCTGTGCTGGGTCCCTATCAACACTGCTCAGCCCAAACACCATCTTAGCCCGGTCATGATAGCCCAAAAGGTGTGTGGGTTTTGCCCTTTTGCTCCTTGTAGTTCCCCTTACTAATGCTTAGTCTCCGTTCAAGCACACCTGTGACTGCACGCCTCTCAGAGGCATCACTTGGGTTTCTACCACTTACATCTGTCAATATTGGGTTTGTTTTTTTTTTTGGTTTTATGAGACAGGGTTTCTCTGTATTATTTTGGAGGCTGTCAGTCCAGCCTAGCCTCGAACTCACAGAGATCCGCCTGCCTCTGCCTCCCGAGTGCTGGGATTAAAGGTGTGCGCCACCACCACCCGGCACATCTGTCAATATTGTTATACAAGCCTTTTTTCTCTCCCAGTGCAGGACATCTCACATGACGGTATTTTTAATTCAAGGAAATGCTTAGCAATTTCCCATAAGACCTAGGGCTCTATAAATGTATCATGAAACTGACTACAGTGTTAGTAACTGGGCTCTTACCTGGTGGAATCTTTTAAGATGAAGAATTAGGATAGCTGGAACAGCAGATATAAGTAGTTGCTTCCTGGCATTAGTATAAACTCCTCCTGCTTTCTTTTCTGTATAAAATACAACAAATTTACTTGTAAAAGTCCATTGACTATATTACTTAGAATGTGATAGACATATAGTATTATACCACGTGGTGTGTGTGTGTGTGTGTGTGTGTGTGTGTTTTCTGGATAAGTGTTTTTCTGAATAGCCCTAGCTGTCCTGGAACTTATTCCATAGACCATGCTGGTTTCAAACTAAGAAATCTACCCAACTCTGCCCCCAAGTGCTGGATGTCATAATTTAAGAAAAGCAGCATGCAAGAGAAAGACACCATGGGACAGGGTTCAAGAGGAGGGTTTTTTATTAGAGAAAAGAATCATAAAAAGAGGAAAGGGAAGGGAGAGACCAGCTTCCTGAGACAGGAGTAGCGGGAGAAAGGAAAGAGGGGGAGAAAGAGAAAAAAGGGAGGGGGGAACAAACAGAGGGAGAGAGAGAGAGAGAGAAGGATGGGAGGTGGGAAGGGCCCTTTTAAAAGGGAACATAGTGAACATGCACAGGTGGTGCTCTTAGTGGCTGCAGCTGAGGGCGTGTCCTGTCAGAACCCCAAGGGCAGGCCAATATAGATGCCTGAATACTAACACTGGGACTAAAAGTATGAGCCACAACACCTAACTACACCATGTTTTAAAAATATTAAGAAACTATGTTTATATATGTTTCCATGTGTAGCGATTATGTGTTAGGGGGATACACATCTTGCACAAGCATGTGGAGGCCAAAAGGTGACAGTGGCTAGCAATCAAGTCTCCACATTTCTTTCTTTCTTTTTCTTTGTGGATAGCAATCAATTCTCCACATTTCTTTCTTTCTTTTTCTTTGAGACAGGTTTTCTCTGTGTAGCCCTGGCTGGAATTCATTCTGTAGACCAGGCTGGCCTTGAAATTACGTGTTGGGATTAAAGGCACTTGCTATCACCGCCACCATTGTTTTTGGTTTTTTAAAGGCCTCTGCATGTAGCCCTGGCTATACTGTAGCTCACAATGTAACAACAGAGATTCACCTGCTTCTCCTTCCAAGCGCTAGGATTTCAGGCATGCCTCTGCATTTGGCTTTTTATACAGGTGCCGGGGATCAGCACTCAGGTCTTCATGCTTGTTTCAGCAACCTTTCACCTACTAAGCCCTCTCTCCATCCTAAGCAACAATGCAGTCACTAGTGAGGCACTGAAAATGCATCAGGTGAGAGTCCCTACTTTTCTCTAATCAAGCAAACACTAGATTCGTAGCATAAACATACATAAGAACATCAAATACATATCTTGGATTTAGGACAAATTGATGGGATTTGTGAAGGTCAGTAATCTCAAATCCCACTAGTGATTCAACTGTAAGTTTTCAGATATTTCAGAAAGATTTCAAACCCCTCAGATTAGAATAAATGGGTTTGTGTTTTCAAGACAGAGATGATCTTCTTGGTTTGGTTACTGCAACATCTGGGAATCTACTTTGCCCCGCCAGTGTCCTAAGTGCAGAGACAGATGAGTAAGACAAGGCCTGTGCCTTCGGGCTCAATACACACAGGCCCTCGGAGTGCCCCATTAAGTTCCTATAGGCACTCATCACCTACAATCCATCAGCAACCTAGGAACAAGCAAGCTGGAAGTTCACCTGCAGAGCTGCTTTCTCTTTGGCACTTCTGTTTCTTCTCCGTACAGTCCTCACAGAGAAGCTTGTTGTTGCCCATGAGTAACTCCATGGACGTGAACTGATAGAGACAGGACTGCACTGAGCATTCTTTAGAAGTAGTCACATAGCTCTGAGAAAGAGTCTGAAAAGCATTTTGGGCGCTATGACACTTCATGTGCTTTCCCTCTGAAAAACACAAATTGTTGGGGATATTCAGTGGCTGTTTTTCCCTGTCAAAATCTCTATTTCCGATGACAGTGCTGCCCAAACGAAGTTCGGCAAGAGCTTCAGCCATCTCCTCATCGCCACCACGAGTCTCGGTGTTGTATGGCAATTCACTTGCCAGTGAGAGGTGTAGGTGCGGATCTGTGCGCCCACAGGAGTCGCCACTGGCTGGGAACAGCACAGTTTGCTTGGAAGCGCTCTCGGATTCAGAAGGCTCGCTGTCAGCATCGGCACTGCTTTCAGAAAGGCTGGCTTCTTTCTCGCTGCCGTCGGTGGCGCTTTCGTTCAGCGACGACTCAGTGCTCATGACGGTGGCAAACGGGCTCCCTTCACAGTTTTCATTCTTCCGACGCAGAACACTCTCTTCTCCGGATGGCAGTTTTCTTACTTGTTTTCTGTCTTGACTTAATTGATTCTGTAAGTTGACAGTATTTTTCAGAAAAAAGAATCTTGTGACCTTATTGAAAACAAATGCCCACACCACAGTTATTAAGTAAACATTTCTCTGAGATCCATTTCCAAATCTACCTAAATGAGAATCAACAGACGACAGACTAACTGGCTCTAATTTAAAGCTGTTACCAGGGAGACTAACAACAATGGCTGCCATGTGTGGGAAAGGGAATAGGACTTCTGTAGAACAGGGCTATGAGGGAGACTTAAACCTTTCTTATAGACATAAGACATCTATTTCCATCATTATGTATTTGGTTTGTTAAAGAACACATCATAAAAGATGAGTAATAGCTGGGTGGTTGTGGTGTACACCTTTAATCCCAGAACTTGGAAGGCAAAGAGAAAGAAGGATCTCTGTGAGTTTGAGGCCAGGCTGGTCTATACAGCAAATTCCAGAGACCTTGTCTTAAAACAACCAAACAAACAAACGAGCAAAAACCCCAAACAAAACACCACAAGCTAAAGAAAAGGCATTACACACTCATATAGCTTACTAGCCAACGCTTTTGAAAAGTACAACAAAAACTGAAGTGCCTTCGTCATTTCCAATCCATGAGGTTCCAATCAGAGCACTTCTATTCTTCTTTGTTAGAAAAGGCATGTGTTGAAGTATATTAAACATGCTAAGTATCTTAGGAGGTAGAAATGAGAAAGACTTTAACTGTAATCCTAACAAGTAGGAGGTTGAAGCAAGTTTCAAGACAGCCTGAACTAAATGCTGAGACTCTGTCTCAGAAAACAAACAAACAAACAAAAAAAACAAAACCAACCAGCGAACTAGGCAGACAGATGGACAGATGACTAGTAAAATAAAATAACTATAAAATTAAAACAACAAGAGAAGACCACACATTCTATCTTTTGTAGTTTTGCCACTTATAAGACTTCTAATGGAGTAGCTTCAATTTCACATGTTAGTTTGCCAAGTCAGTACAAATTAATTATCTAAGGACATTCTTCTTAGATAAAATACAAATTCAGATTGATTTCTATTTTAATACAATAGTTAACAACCAGACATGTCTCTAGAAAAAATATTGACAAGATGCTTGAATAGCTAGTAATATGAAAACAGACATACCAAAAGTTTTGTGTCCCTACTTGATTGGAATACATATCACCACTCAAAAATCAGTGTCTCTCCTGTCCTCTACCCAGCTCCATCTCCCCTATTTTGTTTTGTTTATAGTTTCAGAGACAAATCTTGCTACTATAGTTCAGCCCAGGCCAGAATTACTATGAAGCTCTGTAACATGCATTCTTCCCTCAAGCCTGGTCAATGAGCCTCATCAGTCCCAAGTGAACATGCAGGACACTATATTAATTATAACGCTGTTGGCCATTTGCTATGGTTTTTTGATGGCTAGCTCTGACTTAATTATTAACCCATAATTACTAATCTATATATTTTATAAGATTTATTTATTTTTATAAGGACTTATCAAGGACACAACTTTATGCATCCTCTCTTCCTGAGAGATCACATGGCAACTCTCACTTTTGACATTTCCCAGAATCCTCCTGACTCGCAGTTCCCACCCATCTTAAATTACTATTGGCCAAAGGTGCTTTAGTCATCAACATATACACAGAAGGACTTCCCCCATCAAAGCGCAACTTGGGATCCTCCTGCTTCAGTCTCTTGAGTGCTAGAAATACCTGGCTAGAAGTTGTCTTGCTGAAAATTAATCAAAGCTAAAATTTGGCCTCTCCACCTAAATGCAGTGGAGAGGAAGTAATGGAGAGAAAAGAGTCTGTCAGAACCATGGGAACTCAACAGCAAAATAAATTATTGTTGAACATGGGAAAGTACTAACACAAGGATCACATTGCCTCAGTAAACAGATTGAAGAAGGGAATCTTTAGATTATCAAGAGATTTAAAAAGTGTGCTAATCAACTGTAATCTGTTGATCCTTTTTTAGATTATAAATCCAAACTTTAAAACATGTTTGACATTACTAATGAGAGACAATTTCAAGTATATTCTGGTACTTTGGTAATATTTGTGGAGAGCATCTTCATTTTTATTTCTTTGTTGTTCTGGGTGGCGAACATTTGAGCTCTACCACAGGGATCTATCCCAGGCCCCTAAAATGATAACTATTAGTGATGTACTTTCAAATACATGCTATATCTGGGATTTCCTTCAGAATACCTGGGCTGGAGAAAGAGGAAGCAATGGAATATAGATGGTGAAAACATGATCAGCATTGATCTGGTTTTTGTAAAGCTGATAAACAGGAGGGTGGGTGTTTATCAGATACTGTGGTTTTGACTTGGAACATGCTTGAGATTTTTCAAAATGAAAGTATTAAGAACACCCCTCCCAATCTCACTTGCCTTATCTTTAGGTGACGGATGCTTCTTGGCAGCTCTGGGTTGATGGGCACTTTCTACAGTAGCAGTGTTGTTATCATGATCTCGGTCTGTCTCCTGTAAACCTCTGGATTTATTCATTTTTCCCGGAAGTACAGGTTTTGAAACCTATGCCACATGTGACATAAAACATTTTTAGCAAACGTTTCTAACTTACTAGAAATGTAAGAAGATAATTTCCTATTTAAAAAAAATACTTGCTAAACTATTTTATTAGTATGGGTGTTTTGTTGGCATGTGTGTTTGTGCACCACTTCATGCACTGCCCATAAAGGCCAGAAGAAGGTGATGGATGCCCTGGAACTGGAGTTGAAGAATGTGGTAATCTGAATGTAATTGGCCCCCATAATCTCATTGGGAGGGAGGGGCACTATTAGGAAGTGTGGTTTTGTTGGAGTGCATATGGCCTTGTTGGAGGAAGTGTGTCACTGTGGGGGTGGGCTTTGAGGTTTCCTATGCTCAGGACACTGTCCAGGATCTCAGTCAACTTCCTGCCTGTTGTCTGCAAGATGTAGGACTCTCAGATGTTCCTCCAGCACCACATCTGCTTACACACTGCCATACTCTCTGCCATGATGATAACGGACTGAATCTCTGAAACTATAAGCGAGCCACTTCAATCAAACGTTTTCTTTATAAGGGTTGCCATGGTCATAATGTCTCTTCACAGCAATAGAAATCCTACCAAAGACAAGACAGCTGGAAGGTCACAAATCATGTGGGTACTTGGAATTGAACCCAGGTCCTCTGGAAAGGCACACAGTAACTTAACTGCTGAGCCTTCTCTCCAACCAGCTTAAAAAGGTAATTTTCTTAACAATTTCAAAATACAAGTGCTGGATAACCTTTTTGTATAATGTAAAGATGTCTCTGTTTTACCTCACCCACTTAAGGTATCCTCTGATTGGTTTAATAAAGAGCTGAATGGTCAATAGCTAGGCAGGAAGAGGATAGGCAGGACTTCCAGGCAGAGATAGGGACTCTAAGAAAGAATCTGAGTCAGGAGATTTGCAGCCAGACTCAGAAGAAGTCAGACACAAAGCGGTGAAGAGAGGTAATGAGACACAGACACATGGCAGAACCTAGATTAATATAAACTGGTGAATTTAAGTTTTAAGAGCTAGTTGAGAACAAGCCTAAGCTAAAGCCAAGCTTCCATAATTAATAAAAGGCTCCCTGTCGTTATTCTGGAGCCGACTATATACAAGGCCTAAAGATCTGGTTCCAGTAAGAAAATACATACAATTTATGCACATGTACACAAACTTGACAACCAAACACACTATGCAAACACAGTTCTGTGTAAACTGTATGATTCTGAGATACAGACAATAGGCTCAACAGATGTTTAAAAAAATGAATGCACACTTTTCACAGGAGTTCCATGATTACTTCTCCTTACCCTTTCTTCTATAATAGGAAGTGAAATATCAATGAAGGGATCCTTCATGGTGGAGATCTTAAAAAGAAAAAGCAGATTGAGAACTTTAGTTAGAATTCTAACAGAGATACACATTGTTGTTAAAGAGCAAAACAAATCAAGCTTCCTAGGTGACTTAACATCTCAAGTTAAAACACAATATGAAGTGTTAAGAAAAAACAGAAAGCTGGGCAGTGGTGATGCATGCCTTTATTTCCAGCACTTTGGAGGCAATGCAGTTTAGAGCTCTGTGAGTTTAAGGCCTGGTCTACAGAGCAAGTTCCAGGACAGCCAGGGCTGTTGTTACACAAAGAAATCCTGAAAAAGAAAAGAAAAGAAAAAAAAAACAAACAAGTAAAAGCAAAAACAAAAAGCAGAGATAACAATGTTTGGCCATATTCCTAGGATAATTCTGTTTTAAAAGATACCTATGTGAAAAAGAAATCAGTGTCCATGCCCAATGCTCTATAAGCCTTAGTCAAAGTTATAGTCCCATTCTGTTTCAATATCATAGGCAAGAGAAGATATAAATAATAACCTTGATTTTCTAAAACTAGGGAAGGCAAAAAAAAACTGAACATTGTGACTCTTTGAAGATTAAGTCAAAAGTTCACATACCCTTTTGAACATCACACAACCCCCCCCCACACACACAAAATCAAACGTGACAGTCTTATTGTGCCACATTTTAGGGCACTGTGATAGTTAGTCATTTTCACAGAAATTTCTCTCTCACCTCAATCAAAACTAGAAGCTAATATATCCAATCACAGGCTTATCCGGCATGGTGGCATATAGCTGTAATCTTACCACCGGGGAGGCTGACACAAGAGAACTCCAGTTCAAAGTCAGCCTGGGCTACATATACACAGCACAATGAGGAGAGGAGCCCAGAGAAGTGAAGCCAGAATTTCTCAGGTAAGTCAAGAGGAAAAATGAAATGATTTAAACAAACAAGTTGATTTAGAAAAACTTAAAGATATGCTTACATTTTAGAAGTGGAAGGTATATTTTACTATGTAACCACCTATCATATCTTTTTTAATGATTTCAAGACCACATGTAGAAGGAAACCTCTTTGCTGCCATAATCACCAGCTGTTTTAAGAGGAAAAAGCTGAACTGCAAGCTGACTACAGGAGAAATGCACTCTACTCAGAACACTGTTGTGATCTTTGCCCGTCTGATGGCTACAGGAGAGTTAACTGTGATGACTGTTGCCATAACAGCATATTTCTACTTTCTTCCGTAACAGGTTCATGTGCTATAAGCATCTTTGAGCTTGAGTAAGCAGTTGAGTCTTTTATAAAGGAAAAGCAGCTCACTTAACACAAAACTACTTACTTTGAAGACATCACTATTGTCCTTTAAGTTGTTTCGCTTGTGTATGAAGCAATGTTGAAACTCTAAAGTTATTGAAAAGTAATTGTTATTTAAAGTAAGTCTATCAATTTGTCCGCTATCTATCTACAACCACTGTGATACTTGAGCAATAAAACACAATACAACAAAACAACATGATTGAGGTTTATTCTGTGGAGTGAATTCTAAGTACATACATTTGCACATTCTTCACACATGACTGTGCTAGTTAATTCACCAATAAAGATCCGATCTATGAAGTTCATCTTCACACCTTCTTTTCCATAGGCTGCAAAAAGCATCCATTTTTAATTAAAAAATTCACAAAACAGTCACTGATCCAACAATTACATGCCATTATTTATCTATTCCATTATTCATTTATTCAAAGGCCATCTGGATAAAGTATAGCTTCCATATTATATCCAACAATGTATTTATTATACTATGTTGCATCTTTCTCCTTTCCAGTTTTACAAAAGGAGACACGACAGTTGAGCACCATAATCTGCAAAAATTAACATCATGCAGGTCCCAGGGATTGAACTCATGTCATCAGCGTTGGCAGCACCACACCTTTACTTGGTAAGTCATCTTCCCAGTCCAAACTATTTTAAGAGGTAAAATAAATATAGCAGTAACTACTAACTCATATCACACCCCTGCTGCTCCCATCAATTTTCTTGATGCCTCTAATGTAAAGGTAGACAGAATAGGGAAAATAACTGTTTTTTGAGGCTAAATATTCTAGAACCATGGCTGTAAAGAAGGGATGTAAAAAGAAAGTTTGTGAGCCAGGCGGTGGTGGCACATGCCTTTAATCCTAGCGCTCGGGAGGCAGAAGCAGGCAGATCTCTGTGAGTTAAGAGACCAGCCTGGTCTACAAGAGCTAGTTCCAGGACAACCTCCAAAGCCACAGAGAAACCCTGTCTTGAAAAAAAAAACAAAAACCAAAAAGAAACAAAACAAAACAAAAAACAAGTTTGTGAAGTACAGTTAAGGAATCCTGGGCAACTAATAACTCATGTAAACATGTACATACATGTGCTTGGTGATTACTCTTAAAGGTTGAAATTATTTTGTTTATGAAGTACTCACAGATCAATGGAACCGGAGGAAACTAACCACACAATGTGCTATGGATGTAGTTACATTAGGCGACACACACACAAAAGGATGCACTGTGCTAATATTTCTGCTCTGACAGATATTTAAAGTTTTCTCAGTAAAACCTGAGACGGAAGTATATTAACAAAAGGGTTCATCTTGCTTTCAAACTTCTATCGTTTGCAAGCCTCTAGCATCAAAGTGTTGAAAATTAAGAGCATTTTCCAAAGCATTTAATAACTGAAAGACATACTTTAATACCAATAGACATTTTATAGTGACTGCTAAGAAATACAGCATTCCACTAGGAAAAATCAAACAAGGCATTAAAAAGAACTGACCCAAATGGGAAGAAACCAGGGCTGTTGCTGTCAACATGCACTAGATGGCAGCATCACAACACAGAGTAACAAGGCACACACTGGAGAAACTACATCTTCCAGCTGCCTCCCTATGTAGCTCTGGCTGTCCTGCAGCTCGCTCTGCAGATCAGGCTGACCACAAACTCAGAGATCCACCTGCCTCTGCCTCCCAGGTGAGTGCCACTACACCTGACTGAGGAAGTCAGCCTAAAACCTGTAACTACAATAGAATGTTAGAGCACTTATTTATAAATTATAGTCGTGTACTATAAGTAATACTACAAAAATAAAAGTTAGAAATAAAACACGATATCTTCCAGTGCCCTCTACAATGATGGCTTCATACTAACATTAGTATTTCAGTGCAGAATACAAACTAAGAGTAGGAATTGGATGTCACAGGATATAAACTCAAACTGCACTATCTATACAAGATTTGCTTAATCACTGGCCTGTCTTATGCTGACAGTCATGTAGCAAATAACTAGAGCAGGCAAGATTCGCTACTATTATTAGTCTATTAAATAAACAGTCAATCTGCAATGTCTTTAGAGCCTATAGGCATTTTGTGTACATAAAAGAAGGTAGTGTAGCTGCCCTCTGTTTTTATTTTTTTGTTTGCTTGTTTTTGTTTTGTTTTTTTGAGACAGAGTTTCTCTGTATTGTTTTGGAGGCTGTCCTGGAACTTGCTATGTAGACCAGGCTGGCCTCGAACTCACAGAGATCCACCTGCCTCTGCCTCCCGAGTGCTGAGATTAAAGGCGTGCGCCACCAACGCCTGGCTGTGTAGCTGCCCTCCGAATTGAACTCAAAACCCTCTCCACAAAAGTGGTGAACCAATGACTGATACTGTACGCATCAAAGTAGGTGAACAATGTAGTTACAGAGGCAGTAGCCTCAAATGGGGAACTAGACAGAGAAGCCCCTTTTTAAAACACACAATGCTGAGTGCACACTTGTGGCTGCCCCAGGATGCAGAAAATAGAGCCAGTGTGGGCATGGAACACTGAGGGAGAGGGGGCTGTGTCCAGAGGAAAGTCTTTTCCAACACTACCCTTTCTGCGGGCTCTTCGATGCTCCCCCACCCACCCACTCTCCAATGTTCCCTGAGCCTTGTGGGGAGGAAGAAACCTTTACTCTATTGCTCTAGGAAGAACTTAATAGAGTCAACATACCTTTGACTTTTTTTCTAGTTTCATCGTCAGCAGTCTTCGTAGTTGGGTTGTTAAATGCTTTTAAAATGCTAGCTTGTATCCTCTGTAAAACAAAGATAAGAGAATCTAGTGATGTTTAATGAAGATCTCATGCTCGATAAAAGGGCATCCGGATAGCAAGGTACACTATGGTTCCCACCCTGAAACAAAGTATCTGAATCTTAAATGGGTACTGATTGTTGGAATGTGTAGTTTTATTCTGTTTTGAAAGTTCTTTTTATGTGTGAGATTGAGATTTCCCTAACATATGCACATTTAGAAACATTGAGTGTATTCTACCTTTCAGTTCTAAAATCCCACAGAAGCACAAACCCCCTAACTGGACATGACACTGCATGTCTGTAATCTCAGCATTTGGAGGAAGGGACAGGATTGTGAGGCAGGACCAGTCTGGACTACAGAGTGAGACCCTGCTTCTAAAACAAATTAAAAACAAAAGGAATGAAAAGGCTCCAAAACCTCTCTAATGCCAAATTTTCACAGGTGAGAATCACCTTTGTGTTCAGGTTTCCTCTCAGATCTCAAGCATTTTTACCAGTTACAAAAGCAAGTAGCCCAGTTAGTTCAGCTTCTCTTCAGGCTTAGAGTGAGAGTCTCCCCCCACCGCCATCTCCTCCCTATATCTCAACTGGCATTCTTTATCAAGACAAAAATATGAAAAGAGGAAAAAAGATCAGATCACATGAAATGTCTTGTCTATGAAGAAACCTTAATATATAAGAAGCTATCAGACTAGTCACTGCTGTCTCTCCAGAGAAAGTGCTCACACACAGGGACCCTAGAATCCCGACTGTCAATTAACGTCTATCAAGAATTTCCCCAGTCATGATTATGGTGATCATTAGATGAAGTTGTCAGTAATGACTGTGTCTTCAGCTGCTTGCAGATATTTCTACACGTGTGTGTGTGCATGTATTCATATGTGATGCTGAGCTCTGAACCTGGGGCTCACACATGTAAGGAAAGAGTTCGACCACTGAGCCTCACACCCGCAGTCCTTATTTTTATGTTAGGAAAGTTCCAATCTCCCCCCCAAAAAACTTTCAAAATAGAATAAAACGATATATCCCAACAATAAATACATATTTAAGTCAACAAATTATTAGCCTTCAATTAGTTGGGCCTCTAATTAAGAGGAAAGTGTAACTTAACATTGTTACACAGGGTAAAGGGAAGCTTATCATCTTTCAAAAGACATTTTTTCTACACATTGATCACAGGTTTTACTATGTAAAACTATTGCCTGAGAGGTACATCAGTGGGGAGATGGTTCAGTGGGTAAAGTACCTGCCATGTAAGCATGAGAACCAAAAATACGAATTCCCAGAAACCCCACCTTCCACAAAGCCAGGGCGGGTGTGGGGGCCTGTGATCCTGGTATGGGAAAAGTGTAGACAGGAATCCTCTAGCAAGCTGGACTAGCTGAGAGGGTGACTTGTGGGTTCAGTAAGAGACACTGCTTTAACATACAGGAGGAGGAACTATTAAGGATAATATCAAAATCAACTTTGGGTCTCTGTGCAGAAACATACATGCACTCACACATGGGAACACACACATGAACACATATATACACACTCACCAAAACCCAACTCTACTGTCTGAAATCAACCTTAAACAAGGTTTATTATTTATTTATATGTGCCTATGTGTAAGGTATGTGCATATTTTCAGGTACCCATGGAATCCAGAAGAGAGCATTGGGTCCCCTGGGACTGGGGATCTATGGATCTATAATAAACTCACACACACACACACACACACACACACACACACACACACACACACACACGCACGCACGCACGCACGCACGCACGCACGCACACCACCTAAACTTACTCATGCTATAAGAAAAGGAAAGCTAGGGATGGAGTTGCTGAAACACACACGGCAGAGTGCAGCTAGCTGAGACATTCTGCCTTTGACATAATCTTACTCAACACTGAATTAAAATGATGTATCTTTAAAATAGTAAGTCTAATCTTAGTGAAAGCTCAAATTAGAAGGGGAAAAAAAAGCAAATAAAGCTTGAATCTGAAGGTGGAAAGGCTGCCCATAAAAGAAGCACTTATAGTAAATGTGATTATATATTCTGCACATACACAAACATGTGTAATTTGACCCCATGCCCCCTTTAGCATTATATTCAATTTAGCAGTATTACGTTCCTCAACCTTATAGTCACAAGAAAAGCCTTAAGGGAACTATACTGAAGGTCAGTTGTTTTAAGTCATCTCTCCACAATTCTGGTGGCAGACATAACAGTGCAGCCATCAGAAAAGCCAGGGCAGTGACACGGATGCACCACAGCACACTCAGCATCTGCACATTCCCAGGCAAGACAATGCAGGTCCCGTCTGCCGACCCACTGCAACCAAGCAGCGTGACTGTTCCGCCTGTGAGGCTAAATCCATCCACAGACATGACATTTTAATCTTGTCAAACTATCTATGGCCTTCAATTAGCAGAATAAGGGCAATATATACTGCCTGGGTTTTTATGATGCCGTACAGCAGAGAAAAATAATGCGTAGAAAAAGATTTTAATTTGTAATGATGTATGACTATCACATAACAAACATACTTCTGTAGAAAAAAACATAAAATCTGTAAGAAAATGTAATAAAATTTTAGCTCAGGGAAATGTTAATGTCTCTGAAATTTAATTTATCTTTTAAAAAAAACAGGTAAAACATGATGCAGTAGTTATCCACCAACTTATTCAAATGACAATACATTCAAAATAGCTACAAATCCCCAGGAAACCAGAAGGAATAATCTATATAACACTCCAGTTCTCATTAAGAGCTGTAATAAACTTGTTTAACAGTACCCACAGAACTCCATCTGGGTACAAAGGACGGACACAAAAAACGGGTTGAACTCCCGGATTTCAGTTGAAGAAAGGCAGGAGGGATCATATGAACAAGGAGGCTCAAGAGAATGATGGGGAAAACCACAGAGACAGCTGACCAGAGCTAGTGGGAGCTCACAGACTATGGACCGACAGCTGGGGAACCTGCATGGGATCAAACTCAACACTCTGAATGTGGGTGACAGTTTGCATGGCTTGATCTGTTGCGGGCAGTGGGACCAGGACTTATCTATCCCAGGTGCATGAACTGGCTTTTTGGTGACCCATTCCCTATGGAGGGAAACTTTGCTAAGCCTTGATGGGGGGGAGGGGGCAGGGTGTGGCTTGGTCCTGCCTCAATTTAGTATACCAGACTTTGCTGACTCTCCAAGGAAGGCCTTACCCCTTCTGAGGAGTGGATGGGGGTGGGAGGTGGGGAGGACAGGAGAAAGGGAGGGAGAAGGAACTGAGGCTGGTATACAAAATGAAAAAGGGATTTTTTTAATTAAAAAGAATGGTATCTTTCTCAGACAAACTTGTAACTCAAGAAAGGTTTTTAAAAAATCATACAAATCTTTCTTTCGTACAGCTGGTTTTTGAGACAGGGCCTCACTATGTAGCCCAGGCTTGCCCAGAATTTACCACCTTCTATCCTCTTGCCTCCAGAGTGATGGAATTACTAGAATGTGTCACCATGCTAGGCCATGACAAAAATCTTAACAGAAGGTAACCTCAGAATCTCAGAGTGCTGAAGAAGACGGAGTGTGAAGATCCAAAGGTTGAACCCAGTGAGTGAGTCAGGAAGTCAGCAAAGGGTACAATTACAGTGCACACTGTTTTGTAGAACACAGAAATCAACACAGCCTTTGCTGTGCAGAAATAATGTCTAAGACAATATTAGAGCCCTACCACCTCTCTCCACTAAAATGTGGCCATTAAAAAATATTACAGTTCAAAGAAACTGGACTTTTAAGAGTATTTGCTTAGCTTCTGTGGGGCGCTGGGATGAGTGAAGGGGGGAGAAAGGGAAATGTTACCTTGCATAACATTTATTGTAAGAACAGAAACACTTTGTTTACACTTGACTGCTATATTTCTGATTACTAAAAAGATTAAGAAGTGTACTTGCTTTGAGGAGAAGAGAAGTTTTTACCTTATTATCTATAACTAATAGAGTAGTTATAGTGTATGCTTAGACAGTAATTCTGAAGCTAAAAGTAGGCTTCCAACTGTTAGGAACCCTTAGCAATAACTGCTATAAGGGAGAAAATAGAGTGTTAGTCTATTTTCTGTTTCTGTAACAAAATAAATAAAATTAGCCTCAAATTCAAGGTTACTCTGGCCTATAAAGGGAGACCCATCTTTTAAAAGTCAAGGGAGAAAAGAGAAGAGAATCTTAGGACGGCCTTGGCGTTTGACATGGTGGTGGGAGGCATCTTAGGATGTGATAAGGGCAAATGTGCTGCTCGGATCTCTCCTCCTCTTCGTTCTCATACCTTATTTAGCTCTAATTGCCACCAAAGATCCCATTTCCTAATACCATTAACATGTGACTTTAGTGATTATGTTTCTAACGTGTACTTTTAGGGAATACATCAGAAGCACAGCAATGTAGGATATGTGCTGTGTATCTGACATCTTTAGTGTTTTGTACCCTCTCTGATAAATTACATATTATCTACATAAGATCCCCTAATGAGTTAAATTCCACTGATGTCACGTTAAGGCCAATAAACAACTAGCACACCACTGCATAGGGCTGGAACAGCACTCCCTGCAGAGCCTGCTTTAGCAGCTCTTCTTTGTGGAGACCGTTTCCTGACTCACAAAGCTGAAGTTCTACTCCCTGGCCACAGGAGGAAGCTAACCTAGTATGTGGCAAGGAAGGTTTACTCGGAGAACTCAAAATCACCACAGCCGGTTTAGGCTTTGCATATGTGACTCTGAATTACGATGAGAACTGCACTGGATTCAGCATGAGAAGTAAACACTGTTCTGACATCTGAAAAGTGAAAAAACTCTAAAGAGTCAAAGAAACTAGAGGAAAGGAGACTAAGGGGACAAGGGGACAAGGGGACTGCTTTCTAGACCATGGTTCGTCTTCCTGTATTTATATACCTTGGCCTCAATATTTAAGACAACCTTCTACCCTGCTCTTCCTTCCTTCCTTCCTTCCTTCCTTCCTTCCTTCCTTCCTTCCTTCCTTCCTTCCTTCCTTCCTTCCTTCCTTCTCTCTCTCTCTCTCCCCCTCCCTCCCTCCTAGCATTCTGAGACAAGGTCTCACTATGTGGAACAGGCTGGCCTCAAACTCAGAAACTTGCTTGCCTTTGCCTCTCTTGTGCTGGGATTAAAAGAATGCAACTCATGCCTGACTCTTTTTTTTTGGAGAGGGATCTCACTACAAACTCCTGAGTCCACCAATCCTCCTGCCTCAGCTTCTTGAGTAGCTGGGACAGAAGATATATACCACAGTGAGTTTTGTTTCTAAGCTACTTTGAGTTGATTTAAGAGCTGAAGGACATTAAGAAAAAGGGAAAACAGGGCTACAAAGTATAAAAGAAATAATCTTACTGAAGAAAGGCAAAAATATAGACAAAAATTGCTTGGCACTATACTTTAAAATTACAGAAATTATTCCAGATTATTATCCTTGCTTTAAAGAGAACACGTGACACACATTAAGAAATCTGACCTTTGTCTCCTCTGTCCTCACTGCATCCAACAAATGGTGCAAAAGCTCTTGACTGTCCTGTTGCTGGAACCCTTTAAACCGAGGAGCCCTAGGATGTTGAAGCAGAAGCAAGAAAGAAAAAGAGGAATAATCATTCCACAGATGACCAGTAACACATCAGTCTTACTTAAGATCACTTGGAAATAAATTAACGGTCAGTTTACCTCTTCCCAATTAAACAGACAAAATGCTCTTCCTGTCCCAGTGCAAATGAGAGCACTGGGCTGGTACTTACCTTCCATTAGGTACGTCATATAGTACTGACAGTTTTCACGTTTTACCCCCTCCCCCCAAACAATCCCACTCAGAAGTGCTCTGTTCTCAAGCTATAAGTAAGGGACCTGTTGTGGGATAACCGTTTTGTACATTGTGAAGATGTGTCATTCTAATTGGCTTAACAAAGAGCTGAGTGGCCAATAGCTGGGCAGGATTTTCAGGCAATGCTGGAAAGAAGAAGGAAGGGGTCACCAGTCAAGTGGAGAGGAAGCAGCCTGCACAATACAGAGTAAGGGCAGTAAAGCCACAAGACAAAAAGTATATGGATTTTAAAAAATGGGCTAATTTAAGTTGTAAGAGCTAGTCAGTAATGAGCTTAAGTGATCAACCAAGCTTTTACAATTCTGTGTCATTACTGAGGAGCTGGCAGTCCCATCCGAAGGGTCTGACTACAGGAACCAGAAGAGATATTAAAATAATATGCAATGTCACACAGCCAGCAAGAAAAACAACAAAGCCAAGTCTCTGTAATTTATTTTTTTAACTTAAAGAATGAAAAGATTAAGATACATTCTGTATCTTAATATAAATATTCATTTGTTTTTTATCTTGGAAGAAATACAGTTTCACATTTACATAATGTATCTTAATATAACTATACATTGATAAACATGTGCATATATTCCTTCTATGGATTTAATAATTAGCTTTCCTGTGTGACTGAATGAGATAGTTAAGTGCTATGCATGATAGCTTAAGAAATAGCAAAAACTAACAAGACTGCATGAAATTACACTTTTCACAGAAAAATTAACAGCCAGCAGCATGAAGAAAAATCCTTCCCATAAATTACTAGATTAGTATCTAGAATATCTACATAAAGAGCAAAAAAAAAAAAACCCACAGAAAACAACCCAGCAACATAAGGAGAAATGAACACTGAACAGAGCGTACACAGATCGCCAAGAAAATAGGGGGCAAAGTCCATACTCTTAGTCACAGGGAAACTCTAATCAGAACTACACACCCCAGTCAGATGGCTAACATCAAGAAGCCAACAAATGCTGGCAAAGATGTGAAGGAAAAGCAGCCCTCATATACTGTTGGTGGGAATGTACAGTGCCACAGCCACTATGGAGATCAATACAGAGGTTCCTCAGGAAACGAAGAGCAGAGTGACCACACGACCCAGCATTTCTTGACTGAACATTTAAGTCAACATACCCAAGTTATGCAAGTCACAGGATACAGAATTAGTATCAATATACAAGTGGATAAAGAAAATGCATGCTACACAAGAGACTTTAAAACAAGCGTAAAGAAAACTTTGTGTCATTTGCAGATAAATGAATGAACAGATCAAAATGTTAAGTCAGAGAAGCCAGACCCAAAAAGAATAATTTATGTTTTTCTCGGATGTGGAAATCTCAATAAAACAAAAGAAGATATGAAAGTGAAAAGGAATATTTGGGAAGAAGAAAGGGACCAGTGAGGGAGGGGGTGCAAAATTTGTATATAACAAACATGATGAAAATGTCATAATGAAGTCAACTGTTTATACAATGAATACAAGTGAATAAAAAGTTTTAAAGTCTGTATCAAATTCCAAAGTCAAGATAAATGTCTTAAATGAAAGTTAACCCTAGTATGCAGTCTAATCTAAGGTGAATTCTATGAAAAGAACACAGAATAGCATTTAACACAGTACAAAACAAATTTACAATAATTTCACTATGATATATGTGTGTGTGAATGTATATGTATATACAAATACATGTATACACATACACAGATATAAAATCTCCTTTGATATAAACAGCACGGCTAAAGACACTATAAAAATGAACTACATTTTTCTACTTGAGAAGACTGAAGAGGAACAAACTAAATGCCACCAGATACCAACCCAGCTCTTATGGCCCAGAGTCTAGTACTTTAAATAGTATTCCTCATTATCTCATAATTAGCATCCACCCTGCAGTGCACTGATGTGCCTGCCACGAGGCTATGCGAACTGGCAGTGACGTTAATGTAGAAGAGGAAACACCATTCCAGTTAGTCTTTTATTAGGTAGCTGCAAACAGCTTCGTGTTAGAGAATGGTTGTGGGAGTAGATCAGAGAAACTCAGGCTAGAAACAAATCCCAGTGTTACTTGAGCCTCCACAACTGGAATCACAAGAGGTAGAAATCCCATAATAGACTTGTGCTGTCAATATCAAGCGGCGCTAGTGAAATCAACTAAGACAGAAACAGGCATCCTTCTGGTATCTTCCTTCACTGGTGGTCTTCGAGCAGACAGACATACAGGGTGGAGATCACTTCTGAACAAAGAAGCTGCCTTCCTACCCCTCTGTCTCATTCATGTACAAACTGTTTATTGGCTTCTAAATAATTGCTAAACAAAATTAAACCAGGGTTTTTTTCTTATTATTATTCTTTTACTGAGAACTGGAAAACATAATCCAATACCTTATAAAATGTTTGAAGGAGCATATCTGAGGTACCAATATCAAGTGATCTTCAAACTTACTTTTAAAAAAAGTTAACAGATACTGAATGTATGAAGACATTCAGCCTATTAAATAGGAGAACATTCATAGGAAATGTGCCTTAGTATGTTAATTATTTTCTTCATCATGACAATATATGTGACAGGCACACCTGAAATGAAGGGAGCTTTATTTGAGCACAGAGTTCCAGAAGGTGCATTCCATCATGGCGGGGAGGAAATGGCAACTAGATCAGGCTGATTCATGGCAGTAGGAGTGTGTTATGCAGATTATTCACATCTTGGTGGATCAGGGAGCACAGAGGACACTGAGCCCGGACACAGGGCCTGGCTACAATACTCTTGGCCTCACTAAGGGGACCAGGTGTTTAAACACATGAGTCTCTGAAGGGCATTTCAGATTGAAACTGTATCACTTAACAAGAGTCGTGCTGCCCTGAGTGAGGCAGAAGAGCTGGAGGATGGTGCAGTGGTTAAGAACAACCGCTGTTCTCACAGAACACCCGATTTAAGTTCTCCATACCCACAATCACCTGTCACTCCAACCCCAGAGATCCAATGTGCTGTTCTGGCCTCAGAAGACACTAGTACATATGTAGTGCACATAAATACACACACATGAGAGGGCTTTTAAAATCCTCAAGACACAGGGGCTGGGGAGGTAGCTTAGCAGTTAAGAGCACTGGCGATTGGACCAGATGACCCAGATAAGTTCCCAGTTCTGAGTATGCTTGTCTTTGACAGGATGCAGGCAGGAGGTACACAGGCAGGAAATATGTTAGGATATATGCCAAACCCCCCCCCCCGCTCCCCGCAGGCAGGAAATGCGTTAGGATTTATGCTTGCTCCTGATTGGACCTGATGCAAAAGGTGACTCATTGCCATTTTTCTGGAAACTCTGGAATGGACCTGGCCCAAGTCCATCATCCTGACCAGTATTTAATTAAAGCTTGCTTCAAATTTGGCTTGAAAATTGTGGCAGTGGCAGGGCAGTCGTTGCCTATGCCTTTAATCCCAGCACCTGGGAGGCAGAGGCAGGTGGACCTCTGTGAGTTCGAGGCCAGACTGGTGTACAGAGTGAGTTCCAGGACAGCTAAGACTGTTTCACAGAGAAACCCTGTCGGGGGAGGGGAGGGCGTCAGGAGGGGGGAGTAGTGGTCTTATTATCAACCAGTGGCATTGGCAGTATGTTCCTCAGCCCCTCTAAATGAGCTTAATCTTCATCCCGTGGACAGGTTGGGGCCAGGCCCCTCACTGTTTCAGTAAAGCAGTCTCAGCCTGTTGAGACTGAGGTCTGCTTCTCTGCTTTAGTTTTCTTGCAGACATAAAGTCTGGTAAGCCCTTTATGGCATATGTTTATTTCCAGGCATATGAAGATTTTGCTTTTAAACAAATGCTAATACCTGCAGAAATCCACATAAGCTCTATTTGTCTTAAAGCTCATCTGTAAAATGAAGAAGGTAAGAGTCTGAGAATGCAGCTTGGTGGTAGACCTTGCCTGGCACACGTGAGATGCCAACAAAAGAATTTTTTTTTGTTATACTACTTTGTCGATTTAATATTTGGGCAATAGTCCCAAGCCATGAAGAACTGCTTAGCCCCAGCCAGACCATTCAGCTCCACCCCCAGAAACGCTACGTGCAGGTAGCACAAGCAACTCAGCCTGTCAAAACACAAAACAGCTGTAACTTCAGACCTAACACTATATCAGAGAATTGAGTCTCAGTTTTGTTGCCCGCATACTAGGTGTGTTGCCTAATTTCTGAGTCTGTTTCCTAACACATAAAATGGAATTGAGCAATCACTTCTAAAGAGGATGGTGACAATTTGCATAAGGCATACAGGCATGGCCTTGACAGATGTTGCTTCTTTGTCTTGGCAGTCTGGGCAGCAACTACAACAACAGAGCAGGGATAAAACCCTTGTTAAGTGGGAACGCATTGGGACTTTGTGGCCTCATTGTTCATATTAAGAATGTAGACACTCACTTCTGGCAAAGCTGGTTGAAAAGAACTTTAGGAGAAAGTGGTCCTTTTTCAGCCTCCTTCATGCTGTGAAGAAACAGGAACAAGGCTGAAGTCAATGGTCCAGGGCTTGAAAGTTCCACCACTAACGGATCCTTTGAAAACATGATCAATGCTACGTCAGACATACATAATTTTCAAACAAAATATTATCAAGAATCTTAATATCTAAAAGACTAACTAAACTGTCTTAAGTGTATTAATTTTAAGTCCTTCACATATAAAATATTTAAATATAGAAAACAGGATTAAGTGCTGTAACTGGCCTAGCAGAAATGCAGGTATTCTAAAGAGACGAGTCACTCAACTGAATCACTCAATGTGACTATATTGCAGTTGGAACAATGAACTCCAAAGAACAGAGAATTTCCCCAGGAATCTCATGCTTGGTATTTATACAAATTCACAAATAAACACAAATTATATACCAGATCTTCACCTTACTGTTGGGTCTCATTTGTTAGGGGAAAATGGCTGAGGAGCCTATCAAAGCGAATGTTGACCAGCTCTTCCATCACCAATCAGTGCCTGTGGCTCCTCCCGGTTCTCCCAGCATCACTCAGTGCCTGTGGCTCCTCTGGGTACTTCTCCCACCCCGTACCTAAACCTCTCCCTCTCAGAGGCTGGGCTTCTGCCTCCCTTTCCCCCAACTCAATTGCTATCATAACTCGGCCATTTTCTCTCCACTGGTCTCTTGGCCTCTTGGCTAGGCCACCTTAGTCAACTGCTCCTCTTGTAGTCTGGTTTAGTCTGCTGGCCATGTTCAGCCTGGACTCTGCCTGCATTCTCCCTATAACTATAACAAAAGTCTTCTCCATACTTCAGGAGTAGTCATGACCTCCTTTTATTTCATTTTTTAAAAATTCACTTACTTTTTCCCAAACCTTTCACTAATAAATGAAGGAATGGGGAATTACATGACAGAATTGGTATGTTACATCATCTTTTAAAGGAGATATATATAGCTCAATAAAGTAGCAATTGTGCTAAGGACTTTTTTCCCCACCAAGTTTTGTTTCCTTGATAATCCATCTGGGACTCCAGGGAGGTGTGGTCCAGATCACTGCATGAACCTCTTTTTTGTGGCCTCCAGGGAGCTGTGATCCAGATCACTGTGTGGCCACTCTTTTTTGTGGCCTCCAGGGAGGTGTGATACAGAACATTGCATGGACACTTTTTTAACTGCTCTCAAAAGCCAGATCCTGGACCATACTTTCTCCACTAATGTATTTGCTCTATGTGCACATACATACAAAGCAATTACTTTTCTATTTTATTTGCCTGGTGTTAGAGACTGAATGTATAATAAGCAAACACTCACCTTTGAGCTATACACCCAGCCCTGTTTGTTTTGTTTTGCTTTTTCAAATTGGCTATGACAGTGTTGCGACCTCCCAAGCATCCCCTGTACCTGAGCCTGCAAAGAATCTGGAATCCCACACACGAGTACTCACACCCTATGCCTTTTCTTTTCTTTCGTTTTCTTTTACTAAATATGAGGGTCTCACCATGTTGGCTAGGCTGCCTTGAACTACTGGGATCAAACTACCACCTTGCTTCAGCCTCCCATACAAATTGGCCAGGACTACAAGCACAAATACTACCTTAGCTCTCAATAACTACTATCAGTTACTAGTGCCATTCCATTCCAGAAAAAGTCCATTCAAAATGCAAATACAACTAAATAAAATAAGCCAACTACTTGTTGCTACGAGGTGGAAGGTACATTCTTGGTAGAAGGTACATTAGTGTCTCAGTAAGGGGGTAATATAAGAGCCTACAAAATTTGGACTTTGGTTGAGTAATCTGGCATAGAACCTAAAAAAAGAAGATTTTCTCTAGACACAAGCCTTCAGCAGACAGGTAATTCTACCAGACTACCTCATGACCAAGGTTAAGCTTGCTAAAGTGTCTGTTGTTCACTCTCATGCTATCCAACAGGGGCATTGGGTTTTCTACACGGCAAACTTCTTTCATCTGTTTTTAGATAAATTACAAAATGACCTTACTTTGTTCTTATTTTGTCCGAGGAACATGGCCTAGCTTTGGGTATTATAGGCCAGCTTTGACTGTCAGCAACTGCTCTTCCTATTTGACCTATGTTTCTGAACCATAGCATACCTTACAACTATAATTTCTGAAAACCTTACCTGATTATTTATTTTTACAAAGTACTTTTGAATTATGTTTTAAAGCCCTCATACTACAGTTCCATTCGGTAGCTTAGGGAAACAGAAAGAAAATACTTTGGAAACGGGTTATTATGTTTCTGTAGCTGCTGCACTTGCTACTCACCAACTGCGGAGCTGACGAAAGAGAAATCTTGAGCTTGGTGCCATCCTCTTTTATCTCGTTCATCAGCTCAAAGAGAACATGAGTCTGCGCCAAGTTCTAAACAGAGTCAAGCGTCCATCCAGTTAGTGTGGATCTGACGTGATGACGTCAGTGCTCTCTGTTCAGTCAGTGTGGTTCTGAAGCGATGACGTCAGTGCTTTGTGTTAGTGTGGTTCTAGTGTGACGTCAGTGCTCTCAAAGCTCCCAATCTCATCCAACACAGCAAAACATGTTTACTTAAAATCTTAAAGATGTAAATGAACATACTTCACATTTTCTGCCAGTATGACTAATGAAACTATCAAACAGGTTTCCGCCAGGTGTTGGTGGCGCACGCCTTTAATCCCAGCACTCGGGAGGCAGAGGCAGGGGGATCTCTGTGAGTTCGAGACCAGCCTGGTCTACAGAGTGAGTTCCAAGACAGCCTCCAAAACAATACAGAGAAATCCCGTCTCGAAAAACAAACAAACAAACAAAAAAAAATACAACAGGTTTCCAAGTAGCACTGTTGAGTACACATGTGATAGTGACCAACAACTACCGAAACAGAGAAAAACAGAAAGGGCTTTCTAGAATAACATTTCACAGTCATTGGGCAGACTACACTACAGGTGCCTTGATGGGGAAGTCCTGTGTATATGTAAATAAAGCACTGTTGGCCAATAGGGAAGCAAGACAGGTGGGACTAGGAGTCTTGGAGGATTCTGAGAAATGTAGTGAAGGGATTTGTCACCATATGATTCCCGAGAAGAGGGGACACAAGTCTGCGTTCTTGGTAAGATAAGACCTTATAGAACTATATATTAGTAATTATGGGTCAATCATCAAGTCAGAGCTAGCCAGTAAGAAACCAAGCAAATGGCCAACAGCTTCATAATTAATATAGCCTCCTGTATGTTCATTTGGGACTGACTCAGCTCTGGAACCAGGCTGGCAGGAAGACTACATGTTACAGTGCACCTATACTCATATTAACTAGTTCAGATAATTGCCATCATTCTGATAACTTACCTGAATGACTGCATTAAAAAAGCAAGTATTTCCTAAATTTGTAATTCCTTTCACAGATGGCACACAGCTGCCTTGTCTTCCCTTCTTTATTTCACCTGTTTCACGTTTTTCTTCACAAAGTTTTATGATTCTAGAAAATGCACCTATGAAACAAAAGTTCCAGAAAACTTACATGAGATGTAAAATGTGTCACTTGACAATTTAAATACATCATTTAAAATCAAATAAGACTGAATCTTTGAATCGGTGTTCCTGAAGGACAAGACCACAAACACAGTATCTTTGGTTGTATATTTTACTGTTGTTGAATTGAATATATTATTTTAATATAGCTATCTGTACCCTAACATCATGTTATAGAATAATTTCCTGATGAGTGTAAAAGCTTAAAGTGAAAACAAACAGAAAAGCTCTTCCTTCTGAATACAATTCCCCACAAGAGAAGAAATGAATACTTAAAGTCTCGGGTAGGAAAGGTGAGAAATGAGCTTAAAAACTGTTCTTCTGCCAAAGAAAACAGAAGGGTTCAAAATGATAACGAACACTTGAGTCATAGGAAGTGGAGGTAGGATGATCAGAAAGTCAAGGCCATCTTCAGCAATAAATAGAGTTTAAGTCAGCTTGGGCTACAAACAAAGGAACAAACCACTGACTTCAGGCTGCGTGATACATCAGTTCAAGATGTACAGAGTGAATATCAAAGTAATAAGGGTAGAAAAGTAGATGATTACAGAATGACTGCATATTGATAATAGATCTTTATGAGATTAAATGGTAAGAGGAATGTTTTTCATTGATGAACATGCCAGTGAACTACTTAGCATGCCTGATGCCCACAAAGGCCAAAGAGGGCACTGGATCCCCTGGGAATGCAGTTACACATGTTGTGAGCCCCCATGTGGATCAGGGGAAATCAAACCCAGGTCCTCTGAAAGAGCAGCAAGAGCTAACTGCTGAGCCATCTTTTCAGCTCCACTCGGGAAAACTTTTCTTTTTGAGACAGGGTCTCACTATGTAATCCTGGCGGCGCTGGCACTCACTCTGTAGACCAGGCTGGCTTCAAACTCACAGAGATCCACCTGCCTCTGCCTCCAGAGTGCTGGGACTAAAGGAAAGCATCACCACACCATGATCAGAGGGAAAATTTTCAATGAAAAGATGACAACAGAAGAAAGGACCAGGTCAGGAAACTACCTCCTTACAGTGATGCCCTTCGGTAAAACCAGCAAAATTTTCCTATGAGTTTGAAAATTTAAATGTTAAAACAGTTAATGAGATCACAGTATACTACAAAAAGTAAAATATCTAATAAACCTGAGTGCTGTGCTTTGTACTTGACAATTTAGATGCTAACTAATATAGATCTTAAAATTGCACTTTAATTTTGTTTTTGAGATGGGGTCTATATAGCTCTGGAGACAGGGTCTATGTAGCTGTGTTTGGCCTAGTAGAACTTGCTATGTAGACAACGTTGGTTTTGAGCTTGTCTCAGCCTCCCTAGTCCTGGAATTAAAGGTAAGTTAACACCACACCCAGTTGAAAATTGCATTATTAGTTTGTGTTCAATGATAATGTAAGAATGAAGAACAATTCCTAACATTTACACACTGACATGTTGTTCATATCTACATAAAAGATTACTGTGACTCAGGATCATCAGACAGAGGACTGTGGATGCAGCTTACTTCACAGACGGTTTGCTTAGCATACAGGAAAGCCCTAGGTTCATTCCCTATAACACAGAGCACCAGGCTGGTGGCATATGCAAGTAATTCCAGCATGTGGTAGGGGGAAGCAGGAAAATCAGAGAGTCAAGGTCATCCTCAACTACACAGTGAATTTCACACCTTTATAATCATCCCTTGATATATGCACACAACTTCCCCCCCAGAACACAGACACTCAAGTCAATCATGTACATTTTAGGAATTCATCAGGCACAAAAAGGCTGGATTTCTACTAGAGTTGTTGTCTGGTCTTGCAGATAGTCACTGGAAATGGATTCTTATTTCTTTTACTCACATATATTAATTTTATATAATAATGGGTGACATTTTCATGTATCTAATATGTTTTCTGCATTACTCACTTCCTTTATTAAATTCTTGGTTTCCTCCTACTCTTGCTGATCCCTGCTTCCCAGCTTATGCCATTTCTATGTCCCATGGTTGCTGTGCTGCCAGAGATGTTGTTGTGCTGATCCATTTTTTAGTGGTTCATGTAAGATCCCAGGTGAGGGGCCATTTACAAAAGCAATGGCTCCTTACAAGTGGCTACGCCACTAAGAAAATGCTTCTATGTCAGGTGTGGTGGCACATGCCTTTAATCCCAGCACTGTTTCAGACAGGTTAAGTGACCTGCTCAAGGACATAACAGTGATATTCCAATTATAAGTCCATCACCTTACAACCTAAATTCCTAACAATGACCCATGTTCCATGAAAGTAACTATAAAAGACCATAGGCTAAGCTTCTTACAGGTTTGGGTGCATACAGCCCTAAACAAATGAATCCTTAAAAAACCCTCCTTTCTTTAACACTCTAAATAAGTGCTGTTCTAATATGTAACCCATCTGAGACAAGCACTCACATAGCTTACCTGGGTGCGAGCCTCCTGCTTCACCCTCCAACCTTCAGGATTACAGTTATTAACATGTTAGGTTTTATTAAGTGTTGGGGACCGAACCGAGAACTCTTATGTCCTAGTCAAGCACTCTATCAACTGAACTCCACACTAGCCCTATCCGTTTACCTTTTCACACAAAAAACAAATGGTTGGGAGAAATAAGCTACAGAAAGTCACTACAGATAAAGACACAAATCTACTTGGAAAAGAACAGTCCTAGAAATAAGTAACATTAAAATTGTTTTGATATACACTTTGCGTATCTCTGTACCTCATTCATCCATCACTTTTTAAAACATCTGGGATGACATCCCAAAGTAAACAATGTTCATAAGACCATCTGGACAAAACTGCGGGCAAGAAAAAAAAGCATAAACATATGGAAAAACAGATTTTCTCCCTTCCCTTCAGCAGTGAGGAATGACAAATGTCAAATCTGGAGCTAGCCATGCTTCACTGTGCGATGCTTCACAGCACCACCTGGCTCTCCACGCACAGCCACCAAATATGGACCCCACTGCCAGAAAGAACATGCCCACGGGGCAGCAGCAATAAACACAGTTGATTTCACGGTTAAATGGCCACTTCATACAAGTGGCAAGGGTCTGTTTGTTTACTTTTACAGCAAGTCTATGAGAAAATATCCAGGATTAACAAGGCTATTAGGCTTATATATTAAATATGTCAGATAATTTAACCAGAAAACAGAGTAGTATTTTCTGAAAGCTACTTTTTATTTAAAATAATAGGGGAAGTTTCCCAATATGGAACAATTTAAAGCCAGTTTATGGAATGCCTACAGTGTGCCAAGTATTGTGTGAACCACTATTTATATTTATATAGAATACTTATGATTTATGACCAGAAAGCATAGAGCTGGTACATAAAACTTTGAATTTATGGTATGATCTCAGCAGAACTTTCAGGACCCAGGTATTCATTTTGTACATCTATTCACTAATGAACTGTCTGCTGAGCGCTAAGATTCCAGTTTAAAAGAGGGGGGTGTCTGAATTAATCAAATATTTTACATCTAAAGGTATATGTGGCTTTGTTACAAGGTCCAGTTTATGTGCTATTGGGGTCTGAACTCCTGGTTTCTATCCCTAGGCAAATCTAGGCGAGCATGCCAGAAAATGAGCACACCACAACCCTTCCACCTCATTTATAAACACAGAACCAAATATCCTCAAGACTAAACTCCAAGAATTTTTTGTGGAATGTGCTACAATGAAAAAGGCAAAGCTTCTATAAAAAATTTTAAAAAGCATACAATTTTTTTATTGCTGTTCATTTTTTTACCTCATTTTACCCACAACTAAAAATAAAAATGGTGCCCATTATTAGAAAAGGTAAGTTCAGGACTTCAAGGCTATTTTATTTGAAAAGCATATTCTATCTACAATATCAGCATATATTCCTTCACATTAGAATTCTATAGAATGAGAATGCACAGAACAGCGGCATTCTAGCTTTCCGCTTATTTCTTGTTTTGGTTGCTGTGCTGCAGACTGGACCATTACACTTATACCTCTATCGACACTTCTTACAGCTTTTGAAAAAAAATTTTTTGAGACAGGGTTTCTCTGTGTTGTAGCCCTGGCTGTCTTGGAACTAACTGTAGATCAGGCTGGCCTGAACTTACAGAGATTCGCCTGTCTCTGCCTCCTGAATGCTGGGATTAATGTGCTGCCACCACCCAGCAAACGAACCTTCCCTTTTTTTCTCTCTTCAAGACAGGGTTTCTCTGTGTAGCCGTGGCTGTCTTCTTACGGCTTTTTATAACTCTGTACCTCACCTTGGAAGTCTGTAGTCTACATACACAAAGAGCAGGCCTAGCAAGCCAGGGGGCACCAGCCAGTGAGCAGCTCCTCTCTATGGTCTCTGCATCAGTCCCTGCCTCCAGGATCCTGTCCCACCCAAGTTACTCCCCTCACAATTGATGATGAACTGTTTTATGGAACTGTGAGTGAAACAAACTTTCTTCCTCAAGTTGCATTTCATCATGGTGTTTTATCACAGCAACAGTAACCCTAACTAGGACAGACTGGTACCAGGATCATGGGTATGGCTGTGACCAACCTAACCATGATGTTTTGGGAAGAACTGTGGAAAAACTTTAGAAATTTGGAGTAGAAAAGCCATTGAGTGTTGAGAGTTCAGTGGGCTGATGTGTAGGATCTTGGAAGATGAGAGCGTTGAAGGCAGTGCAGACAATGGAGGCCGGGCTTGTGAAGTTCCAGAGGAAGCTCGAGTCCATGAAGACCCCATAGGGCTGTTTGCTATTTTGAATTGAGAATCTGGTTAGCTGGGGCTGAGGTATCAGCTGTGAGTAACAAGAGACCAGAACCACTGAAGAAACACACTTGCTTTGTTGAGAAAATAGATGTTGGTCAGACGGAGCGAAGATATTATAGTAGTGATTGAGAAGAAACCAACATCACTGAGGTGAAGACTGGGAAGTGTTGCCTCAGGGTCAGCACAGAGGCTGTGTTCCAGAGGTGGCTAAGGTTGTAC